CGAGCAAACAGCAGTAGCAGATGTCTTGACTGGGTTCTACGTTAGCATTTAGATCCCTCCAGAGTTTTGTGCACATGGTTTAGGTAAAAATGAAAAAGGTTGAAGTTTTAAATTTAGTTCAGTATTACCTGTTGCCTGTGTCCTTGTCTTTTGGGAAAATACTTTACACAAGTAATGGCTCAAAAATGATTCCTTTTTTTACTGTGCTGCAATTGATTACCAGATTATTTGTGCAATTAATTAGTGTCAACTAATTTTTAATAAATTTTTAATCAATCTCCACACAGAATATGCTGTGAATATGAAGGTGGAATATGGGGGACAGCAGAAGTGCGTTGAAGTTCCACAAAGTGATGAATGAAGGACATGCATATTGTATTGAAGAAATAAGTGATGAGAATGCTGTTATTTGCATTTACCATGTCAGACCTTTTGATAAACAAAATTCTAATGAAAGTGAGAACATGTACATTGTTACATCTTTCAGAAAATGTTTTGAAATTGTGGTGCACAGTTCAGAATAAATGTTTTTCAAAAACCATTGCATCTTTTTAATATATGTTTATTTCCAAAGGAATTTCTAGAAGTTCAGAACAGTAAAATTTCCACTTTTTAGAATTAATTAGAAGATAACTCTTATGTAGTTAAACTAAAATACTCCTTGAGAGTTAATATATAAACTCTTAACACCTAGTTAGCATTAGCAAGTGTTAAATTATCAACTCCAGATAGATTTGGTGTTTAACACTAAATCAGAGTTAACATACCAACTCTCCAAAAAGAGTTAAATTAACACTCTCTGGTGTGGACCCATATAGACACTTTAATAGTGTTGAAATCAAATCTGACAGTGTTAATTTGGACATGCTGGATTTGGTGTGCACTGAAAAGGAGAGAGATGACCTCCCCAAGGGCTTCAATCTGGCTTCACTCAAATGTGAGCATGAATTTGAGTTAAAAACAAAACAGGGCAGAGTGGGTTGTCTATCGGTCAGGAGGTCGTTATACATCGTTGAAGTATCCTTGGGATACTGAAGCCTGAGATCCCCCTGATGCATCCATGAATGTGCACGTGAATGTGAGGTATAGAAAAAAGTGCTTGTATACAATGTTCCCTCTAATTTTTCATGTGTCTGACTGAACACACAAACTTGGACCACTGTGAGCAACAGTAGACATGTGCACTGTGGTCACGCCAGCATCGAATCCATCCAAGTTACATGGTTTATTAAAATAATCAAATTACAGCATTTACATTTATGTTAGACTACTTTTAATTAACTGCTTTAGCCCATTTACAATGAAAATTAAAAAAATCTTGTTCATGACCTGTGTAGTATGTTAACACTATTGGAAGTAAAAACTTGAACTCCAAATTTGAAAACACAACTTTCTTTTTTTTTTAAAAAAAGAAAAAAAAAAGCTGTGACTTGTGTTATAGGTATGAGTCTGTGGTCTGGGAGAGAGTCCTGTAACTCTCTGTCTGCAAAATACAGAATATAATGACCAATGTTTGGCAATTAATTATATAGTTACTTCTTTAAAAAAGTAACTGAGTTATGCAAACAACAAAGTTTTTTGCAGCTGTTTACCTAAAAATGCAGCCAAGGCGTTTTTTTTAACATTTCAAACTATTTATAGAACAATCAGGTGTTCTGCATCAAATTTGATGCCACACAAATTATTTGTGCCACTCCAAAAAATAATTTCTGTCCACTATGAGATAAAGAAGAACAACAGCCTGATACCTGCAGGCCTGACAACAGGAGATGTATCACTCCTGTAACACCTGTAACATTCAGTAGTGGCCTCATTGTTCTGACACACACAACAAAACTATTGACTACACTACACACTAACTGCACGAGATTTGCGTTAAACGTCGAAAATCTCTCACTCAATCTCAAGACACTGCCGTCGCTCCTAAAACTTCCCCCTTCCTAAACAACTAAATGCCATGTTGCCATATCGTTTTTTGATTGGTCGACATGGTATATTTTTCGACCAATAGGAAAGGTTGGGGGCTTTTTGGTTTTGTTTTTGCTCAAAGGCGGAGAGCGCTTTCGAGGTTTTCCTTATAAAACACAGTTTTTACTGTTTCTTCCCACAGTACAACGATAGTATTCAGGAAGAAAACCAAACGTTGCATATATTTTTATCATAACTCTGGTTTTACGTGGCCTATCAACGCAATATAAAGTCTGGTATAAAGTCCACACTTTTTCCGTCAATTGTTCTGTCTGTCCTGCTCACATCTCCAATGGTTGTACACGTTGTGATTAACGTGGCTTCACTCCACATCAGCCACGCCGCTTTGCTAGCTAAAACCCCGGTGTCTGCACACAAGGACACTGTCATAGCCTGTCAACGACGTTGATTATATATACGATTATATATACGAATGTGAATCTCATTATTAGCATTGTTCTAATCCCATATCGGAGCAGCTAGTCACTTACTGACTAACACTGCAAAACAGAATTGTTAAAGTATTAATTTTAATTTAAATTCAGGTTAGATTTTTTTTTTGTGTGCGCAAAGCAGATTTTGTGTGCGCAATTGCACACGTGCGCAGCTTAGAGGGAACATTGCTTGTATATGTGTGTAATTGGGTAAATGTGACTTGTAGTAAAAAACACTTTGACTGATCAGTTTGAGTAGAGAAGTGCTATGCAAGTACCAGTCCATTTACCAGAAAAAGGGACATTGATGTGAACAAAAACACATAAGAACCCATTATTCCTCTCTCCAACATCGGGCAAACAGGTGCCTAATATTAGCCATCAGTATCACCCCAATCATGTGAACAACAACAAAAAATATTACAAAGTGAACTTAACCAAAATATAACTTCCACTAGCATCACATTATTTACTTTGTTTGAAATTTAGCACTAGTTAACTTAGCTAGCACATCAGTGACCATAACACTGAAGCTTGGACAGTGGCAGTCGACATGTTAGCATAGCTAGCACGCTAAAAGAATGCAAAAGCTAACCATCAGCTTTTTCTTATGTGCTGTTACTGAAATAAAGATGGTTTCTGTCATATGTAAAATTTTGCATGGGGTCTAATAGAATAATGTAGTAGAGAAATATGCTCTTGAAAAGTAGAAAAACTAACATGGACGTGTCTCAAATTGCAATTACAACTTGAATAGGAACCTTAAAATTGTAACTAGGTAAGGAACTTTTATAAATATTCACTTTATAAATAACAAGACGTATATCAAATAAAACCCACGTTAACCAGGTGAGATTATTAAAAATGTAGAGTTTAATATATATATTTCTTTCTGACATTCTGATAAGGATTGCAGGTAGGCTTCACAGTACACACTGTGTTCCACTTGATATGCTAAGCAGAGGAAGGGGTGGGACGGGTGGGCTTGACAAGCAGCAGGTTTTTTTTGTACATTAGTAGTGAAAGCAGAAGGAGGCAGTACATCCACAGACAACGTCTACTCCTCCACCGTATTGCTCTGAAACCCACAAAGGACCATTTGTCTTAACGATCCACATTCTCTAGAGTCCATCTACAGGCTTAGAGTTTATTCATGGTCCTTCTTACAATCCATAAAGAAAATTGTGATCGACAGAAAACATGGATTATCAAAACACTATCTAAGCGCATGCATGAAACACATTTTCACATTTTCCTTTTTTTTTTTTGCTTTTCTTTCACGCCACCCTCTCACCCATGCACGCACGCACACACATGCACACACACAAAATAATGCAAACAAACTGGGCTTTACTTTTTCAACATACTTGATGATGAGGTGAGTTAGGAAATATAGGCCAACTTAAGTTAAATGATAAACCTATGCAACTTTGTTGCAACCGATGGATATGCACTTGAAATCTGCTGTTAATTTACTGTCGTAATATTTCTTTTAAACAATTATGATTTGTGTTATGGGGAAGGGTACAGATTTTTTCCCTTGTTTGGCGACATAATAATTACACCTATATATGCATGCTTTTAAGTGGCTCCAAGTTCCAGTAATGATTCACAAAAACGTTACATTTATGCTGCTCCGTACTGGTAACAATACATGCCATAAGGCCCTAATCAACCTTCTGTCCAATGCTAACTCTTACTTGTCCTGTTAGGTATTACAAAATCAGGTAGCCTGCTATATGAGATCTGAGTCAGTCACATTCAGAAACAAACCTGCCTCCTTGTATAAATGTATGGATCCAGCACAGAAAATTAAATCCTCTAGCACACATTAATTATGTCTATAGTTCCAAAATAACAACCGGTGTGAGGGCACTTGCAATTGTCATACAATTACCACAACTATCAATATAATCAACATCACTAAAATCTTCATAAACAAAGTCCATTGAGAACACACACTGAGGCATACAGTTGATTACTTCTGGAGTGAGAATAATCTATAATTAATTTTGGCAGAGATTAATTCACACATAAAATAATAATAATTATAATCAAAAAGGCTTTCAAATGAAATTAATGGCTTATTTCTGCAGGTTCGGGAAAGGTGACTTTGACCACTTTTTGGACTCTCGTGGATGAGTAAACACTGTAATTGCACTTTAACTGACAACGTTATTGTACTCGGAATATTTGAAGGAAATTATACTACCACTGCAGCATCTGTTACATGATAAATTTGTATCATTAATTGTCTGAAAATAACAGCAAAGGGCAATTATTTCAAATTTAAACGTGCGCCAATTTTACTACTAACAACAGCAGTTTAGGGGATAAATGTGTCCTCATTATGAATTCATTAGATGGCCCGTGCAAACAAATCACTGAGTCGAACAAAAAAGAAGAGAAGATGGCATCTGTGTGCAACTCCTTCGGCCTTTAGCATGCCTGAAGTCAAAGCTTAAGAGGAAGAATTAGAAAGACCACATTTGATTTTTTTTTCTTTAAGCAGAAAAAAACATTCTGCATTTCTGCTGCAGCATCATAGTTACCTGGTGTTAAAGTGAAAAAATTATGACTCTACAGTAAACCTGTTCATTGTGTGTCGGGACAAAAATAACATCAAATTTTTAATCATTACATTTTCTACACAATAAATATCAGCACATATATCATTATTATATATTCAAGATATGCATTTTACATATAGTTTTCCTCTCAGCTTATATACATCAGTTTATGTACAGTCTTTGTATTTACACAAGGGGTCAAAGGTCACTGAACCTGAAGCACTTGAAACAAAGTTAAAAGAGAAAGACATACGAACCTAAAGGCAGTGTAGTCATCCATCCGTTATCACTCACTGTTACAGCACTGGGGTGGGAACTAAAGTTACTTTTCGGTGTGAACAACAACAGTAACACTCGCACAAAATAAAGCACTGCCATTCTCAGGCCCTTGGTAAGAAGCAGGTCGATCGATATTGGCTTGTCATGCAAACACGTCGTGGTGCTTTCTAAATAAATAATGGATGCAAGAAGTACAAAAACTTGAATCATAATAACATTCTTCTCTTACTGTGCTGGTATAAAGTGAGTTAAAGTGAGTTCACCTAAAGGTAAATTTCAGACAGAGCACTGTAGCTGTACTTGCGACAGAAGAGGGGAATTTAAAATGGGGAGTGGCACTAAGAAAAACAACGTTAAATGTTACTCTGGCATGCAAAGCCTGTCTCTGGGGCTCCGCATATTCCTAATGTGCACAAAGCTTGAATACCCTGTGAGCAATAAAATCAGACTACGCTCTCGCTCCGTGTTTCCGTTTCACCCTGAGGATGGGCTTTGCTCCAAACCATGTCAGGCTCTGAGTTTCCCTAACCAAATATTGTACAACTTGCAAATATCATATTGCAATTTGATTGCATGTTCTAATAAGGCAAAAAGAAACTTGAAAACACAGAAATACAGACCACTGCATTAAACGACAAAGCAAAGCTATAAAAAGAAATTAGAAAAAAAAATCTTTTTAATGCAATACTCATCTAAATTCCAGTCTTTCCTCCTAAAGGCAACTGTTCCTCCACTATGGCATTTTGGTGTGTTTTTTTTTTCTTTTTTCTTTTGGTAGTTGTAGTCACACTAATTTACTAGCAAGCAGTTGGAAAAGTTCAGTTTGTTTGCAGCCTGTAGCAGATGTGAGGGAGGGTTCATTTTCTGGTTGGCAATGGTGCGGCCAGTGTTTTTCCATCGGGCCTTGGCGGAGACAGTTAAAGAGTATGTACAGCCATAGGGGTTCTGGAAATGATGCCTATGGGTGATAGGTCATAGAGTGGTGCTCTGGGGCTCCTCCTCAGGCACACCATCCCCCTCTGGATCTGTCACTGCCATGGACCTCCTGCAGGGGGCACCGCTGAACTCATCGATGAGGCTGTCCAGATTGACATTGATGGAAGGGATTTCATAATTGAAGATATCTAATGGTGAGGATGGGAAAGGTGAGTATGGTGAGCAGAATAGTGTGGATGGTGATAATGAGCACCAGGAAAAGGAAGAGGAGGAGGAGAGGGCAATATGACAATGAAAATGGAGTGTAAAAATGAAAGAGAGCAGAAATAATATTAATTGTTTTGAGTCTGAACTCATGGTAAGTGGCATATGATCGAAGGAATCAGTAGATTACGTGTGCTTCACATTTTACAGTGTGGTGCTGATTATGTCAATAAACTTGGTAGAGGCTAGTGTAGCGAGTCGCTGCCTTTTGTGTCTTTTGAGACAGGAAGAACAGATATTCTGTCAGATAAAATACAATAACAAGTCAAAATGACTGCACAGTGACAAATTACATGTTTACAACAGTGGACAGATAAACATCAAGGAGGCAACAGGATGTGTGTGGAACTCTCTGGAAAGAAAATGGCACCAAGACACCAAGTGGGCTTAAAGTAAGAATGGAGATCTCTAGAGGACTGAAATTAGTATTTGCTGTGAATATAGATACTCTTACGTGCTGCTCCATTTAATGGAAGCGGCAGATCCAAACAGAGACGGATGGCTACTCCTGTGTCGGAATGAGATGGAGTGTGGCAGTGTAGTAAGAGGAAGCAGAGGTTATAAAAAGCGATGAACCTGCCAAAGGAGGAGTGGGGGTTACCTGTGACCCCCCTGATACGAGTGGCAGGGGCGTTGGAGATGTCTGCCAGCATAGGGCTGGGAATGGGGAACAAAAGGAAAGGGGCTTTAAGATGAAACCGTTGTAAGCAATGGCATCTGCAATGTGAGCGCAGTGTGATGCACTCTGGGAAGTCCTTAAGCCGTGCATTATTGGTTGAAGACAGTGCAAGGAAAGTACAGCCAACCTGCTAAAAAAGGACGGGGATTATGATTGGGCATTACAGGGTAGGTATGTTTGAGGCAGGCTGCAGGAGACCCCAGAGGCATCCACGGTACGAGGCCAGGCAGTGAGATGGAGTATATGGGGCGGGGGCGGTCTGGCTTACCCTAAAAGTCCCCCTCACACTTAGCCCACACTGAATCCCTGGCCTCACACAGCTGCAAAGTACACAATAGTAGCAGGGGGAACAAGAGAATGATAAATATAACAAAGTGACAAAATCACTGGTGTATATATATTGACAGAGCACCTCAGTTTGAGAACATCATATTGTAGCTTTATCGTTGGGTTTGTCTGGCTAGGTTTCCACTCCTGCTACCCAGTAAGAGATGCTAGACTGGTGTGAACTGTGTAAGCCTCTGACCTACCTCTGCCAAGTGGGGGTCTGGGTAACACAGATAAACAGAGAGCACATGATGAATCTAATGGCAACTTTCATACAAGCAGGACGAGCTATGCTTCTCTGATGTTTCCACACATTACCCAGAAACATCATCACATAACACAAGCAATGAATACATTGTTCAAGAGATTTCCTTACTACAGTAGCACAAGAAATGCTAATATTTACATTTTCTTATCATTCTCAGGCATCTGTGTCTAAAAGGCAACTTGTATTCATTCGGACATTTGTTTGGGAGCAGTCAGTAAAGGGGACAGGTTTGTCTACAGTGACAGGTTCTACAGAGTCCTACACTCGTCCACCGTCTCCATTGGACAGAGCCACAGCGAGTCTGAGAGAGGGCCGCTGCAGCCCCACCTGTGGGGGTGGCGGTGGGGGTGTTGTTGCCAAGGGTTGATGTTTACCTGTAGACATGCTCTCCCCAGGAGACAGTCCATCCAGGAGGCCCTGCTCCATGGGCTGAGGGACTGGGGCCACAGGTGGGCCAGTTAGCCCCGGAGGGGCTATGGGTGGCTGAGGAGGGGGCAGGCTGGGTCTCTGCCTGGGCTTAGGGGCAGGCCGCGACTTGGTGAGTGTCCCCGTCAGGGAAGGCGGGGACGAAAGAGAGTGGGGTGTACCCAGTGGGGTCTGCCCAGGGGAGGACGGTGGTACTTGACCTGGAGGACATGCCAGTCCATAAGGGGAAGGGGTGCTAGGAGGTGTAGGGGACAGGCTGACTGGTGACGGCTGACCTGTGGACTGGTCAGACATCCCTCCAGACTGGCCGTATGGGACCTTAGGAGGCACGGGAGCCAACTTCTTGGAACCTGTTAACACACCATAGTCATATTAAAGTTACCTGTGGAAATACGAATAAGACATGTTTAAAACTTCAATGTCAATGTCAAAGAAAGCACATATTACTGAGGCCCTGACCTTTGCGCAGGGTGTGTGGACTGTGCTCTGTGGAGTGGGGAGACTGGCTGCTGCTTTGAGGGCTACTGCTGGGGGGTACTGTTGGACCTGCGACCTGGATGGCTTTGTGTCCAATTACAGGGGAAAGCTCTTTACTCTTCAATGAACTGAAAAGGATGGATATATATTATTATGTGAACATATAAACATATAAACAGTGTTTTGGACTCATCGCAGTCTACATTTACAGTCACTACACCATCATCACCATCATATACATGGCTGCTTCCACTGTTAATAACATTTTTCTAATCTCAAGGAAAGCAGTTCAAAATCTCAACACCTGTTTGTTATTTTTTTAATAGATTTACAAAAAGTTGGTGCACAATATTCTGTATGGATGCAGATGCTTTCAATCCCCCTGCAACAAAAGCTACTTCTGGGTGTTTCCTTATTCACAAGGGGTTGCCACAGCAGGTAGCTCTACATATTTGATTGGGCAGATTTTTACAGCAGATGCCCTTCCTGATGCATCCCTGGAGGATTTCTGTCTCCCTCTTAAAAGGAATCATGGCTCTGTTGCTTGGCAAATGTGTAAACCACTACACTATAGAAAAGAATAAGACAAACACTTCAAAAAATAATTGAGCAATACCAGTATATTGACTATATATGTGCTAAGAAACTCAATTACTGGGATGTGACATTCATTTTCACGAGTGATTAACAAACAGAAAAATTCCACCTGGGCTTGCAGAACGTTTGCCAGATTTAGTAAACAACAGGGTGTGAATACGGATTGAATGTGTCTTTGGACAGTGACAATACACTCAAAATAGATGAGAGACACTTCATGCAACTAGATATGACTGACAAAGTATTAACTGAGTACATAAATGAACTGAAGTCGAGTGACTCTAAATAAACTGCATGAACAACAATAACAAATAATTGCTTAAAAACGGTTTAGAAACTTTGTTTTACATGACCCATTTGAATACCCCCCCACCCCCTCCACCATCACCACCACCACAAGTAAGAAAAAAACAGACAAACAAACAAAAAATAACACACTTATAGAAGTGCCATTTAAAGTTGCCATCTAATTAAATGGTATTCGTTTTAGTTGTACATCTTCAGCAGACTTCCGAACCACAGGTCATCAGCTTTCCAAATCACAGGAAAAGTGTTAAAAAAACAAGTTCTGACCACAGACAGAGATTTGGTGTAATGATTCACACCGTCCTGTTTGGTAGTAGCACCAAAGACTTCTGACTCAAGAAACTATCAGAGGCAAAACTGTAAAACTCAGCACTTTGGGTCCAGCTGGAGGTACTGCACTGTTAGGGTTCCTATTTTGCTAATCTCATAAATCCTTAAAATTCTTCAAAAAAAACGAAGAGGTTTTTCATGTACTGTGTGCTGGTTAGTAGAAAAACTGCAGCAGACTTGACAATAAATACATTTCTATTCTAGTTCGAAGCCATTCCTTGTGTATTTATCATCTACTCAATAACAGCAACAAACTGAGCGCTATATAAGCCAGTAACATCCTTGGTTGCTAGGCAACCCAGCTGACAGGCATCCTGAGACAACCTGTGTGTTACAGAATCTCAGCTATGCAATTTGATGGGAGAGGTAATAAAAAAAGAAAAAAAGAAAAAATATGAGCCAGCGAGCTAAAGGAGAAATACAGCTGCCACTCTGTGATGCATCCATAGTGGCCAGGCGTGTGTTGTATTTACCTAGTCAGCCTGGGGGGTCCTCTCTCTCTGGCACAGGGGCAGGCAGCCCACGGCGGGGGCGGGGGCACGGATGAAGGGAGGCTAGGGGGGTTGCCAAGGCTCTGGTCATGACGGGTTAGTACCAAGGGGGTTTTGACGTAGAGGGGCAAAGCATTAGTGTCTTGTGGGGGGGCATGCGACATGTCACCAGGCGGGCTGTGTTTGGGGAAGTGAAGACAGCTAGGTTTGGGGTTCGAATTGATGTCAAGTGACGAGGAGGAGGAGGAAGAAGAGGAGGAAGGGGGAGGAACAGGGGGAGTGAAGCCAGACCAGCGCATTGGGGGTGGGGGTGAGCCAGGCGGCTGGGACTCTGGACCTGGTGCCACAGGGCGAGCGCAGGGCGGGGGTTTGGGATAGAAGTGGTGGGGGGCAGTGTGGCACATAGAAGTGGGGTAAGGGGGGGTGGACGGTCCTCCCCTGGGGGCGGGTGGGCATGAGAGGTGTCCGGCCGATTGAGCGACACGTTGTCTGAGCTGTAGATATTAAGAGAATAGACAGCACAAAAGAAACAGCTCTATTGACTGAACAGGGAAACGCACTGGAGCGATATAGGACAAGCTGTTTGGATGATTAAGGTGTGTTAGTGTGTTAGTCAGTTCGAAGCCGAAACCAGTTGGCAAAAAAAAAGTGCTGCATCTTGCGGTGGGCAGTGGGTACACAGTCAGCTTATTGCAAATACAAAGACAAGCACAAAGAAATAGCAAAGAAAATTAAGTTTCATTGTGAAAGAAAAAATGATACAGTGTGTAGGACTCCCTCTGTGATCACCTTGTGTCTGCACACTGCATAGAGCTGTGAGGATCCTTCTCTGGAACCAAAGTGCTGGTCTGCAGCTTTCAGTAATACCAAGTTGAGTTGATGACTGAAACTCTCCTCACTGCTGGATATGGAAGCCCTACCCGCCTTAATCCTATATGACTTGTTTGTATCGCAGGTCCTGCAGTCAGCCCAGGGCAGTGTGAAACAGACACAAAACCCTTTCAAAGGCTGAAAGAGCCACAGGAAATGGGGGTGGGGGGGAGAAAGACAGCCAAGCCAGAAGCCATAATATTTCTTGTCTGCCACATAGGCAGAGCCAGTGACCATGAGGTGATTACTCATGTGTTTAATTGTGATAATGATACCAAAGAAATTGTGAAATCAGTCTGCGTGTCAACAGAAAAATAACTAATTCACGACCAAAGCTGAGAAAGCCAAGCCACAACAATGGGATATTGGATAGATTAGCATGCACGCAACAACTAGCAGGTTGAAGCTTTGCGTCACGTAGATAAACAAAACTTGTTTATACAGTATTAGGACTAAAATCCTTCAGATTTGAAAAGAAATGGGCTTTTTTTTTGGCAAATTTTACCCACAGTGACCTGACAAATGGACACAAGGACAACTCTAAGAATGTGTGATGTCTGAAAACAAATTCAGAACAGAATGCGACATGAACATGTTGAGGGAGATACTCCAAAAAAAAAGATGGAAGCATTGCATATGAATGGAAGCATGGTTAACACGGCCAAGAACCAGTGCAAGATGATGGTAATGATGGTGATGACAATAAAAACGAACACGGGTGGATGCATGGAGAAGCGAGGGCCAGGGTCTCCACGGTGACTTACCAAACCCTTTCTCCAAGTGGAGGTGTGGCAGACGGAGAGATGGCAAGCTCTCCGGGCTGCTCGGGGATGAGTGTGTCTGCAGGGGAGCCGGGGCCTTGCATGCCTGGAGGAGTGGAGGAAGCCTTACGCGCCAGGGTGGATGAACCCTTACGAGACACCCAGGAGGTATCCATAACCCTGACGCCCATACTGGAGACAAAAACATGTACAGACTCATGTGTGACATCAGCAAAACTCATGTGAGGCAAGTGGGGATAGTAAGGAAAGAAGTCGTGGGAAGAAGGAATGATACAATACCTTTGTATCTTCCTAATGCTGCGTTAGTAAGGGAGAAGAGAGGCAAAAGTGACATGAGGTCATAAGTAATGCAGACAAGGGTCACAAAATGTTTAATATTTGATATGAAGCAATGATTATGGCAGGGAGATGAGTAGAGGGAACAGTAAAGGGATTCAGAGAGAAAGTCAGGTCATATAACCAGTATGTGCTAATCTGCTGAATGCCATTTAGAGGGTTATTTCTTCCAATTAAACCTTTATAGTCTAAGAAAAGCTCAGGCTTCTCCCCCACATTGAATAGTTGCTTAAACAAATTTAGATTGATGCCTTTAGTGTTACATCCTTTGTGTTCACTTGATTGGGGTGTTTTGTTCAAGGTGTTGGTTCTAATTTCTCCAGTGATATTCCACCGTCTCAGTGAATGAGTCATGCCAGGTGACGTGCAATCCAGACTGTGAACGAGGAGTTGGGTGTGGGAGGATGGGATTGGAGAAATATTTCCTCTTGAAGAAAAAAACCTAGCAGCTCTCCATCAGAAACCTGTTGCCATAGAGACCATGCCATTCAAACTTATTCAGCCCTACGTATTTAAATGTGGGCAGTTTTCAGGCTTCTCTTGATGAATCCTGATAATTAAAGATACACCTGTATATATTACGGTGAGATAAGATATTTAACAAGAAACTGATTTCTGTGCTGCTTATGAAGGCTTCTGACTCATCCGAATGAAAACTTTAGATCGGAGGATCTTAATGTGCAAACGCTGCTCTCCTCAAATATAAGAATTCAGTATCTGTTGCCTGAGAAGAGGCGTGGGTGGAAAGAGAGAGACTGAAGGAGAGTGAGAGGTGGGTAGCAGAAGTGAGCACTTGGCATCATACCCATCTTTCTTGTAAAACTCCAGCATCATGTTGTCAGTGGCGACACTCAGTGGGCGTCGGCTCTGATCGTGCTGCTGCTTGCGATCGGATTGGTCCATGTCTGGTGAGGGCATAGAGCTGTAGTTGGAGTTGTGGTTGGTGTGGATCGGGCTTCCATAGCTGCCTGTCAAGTTGAACTCAATCTCTGAGGCAGAAGCAGACACACCATCAGCATGTAGTCTATTATACTTACAGTAATGTTTAGAATTGTGTGCGTTTTGAGTGCACACAATTACTCCAAAAAAACCCACAGTTAGTATGAAGAACTGAAATAACTATAATAAAATTAAGATTAAGCTATGCAACAAATACAGTACTAAAATGACATTTTAATGCTTTTTTAGCATATGAAAGTCTACAGAGAACATCCAATCAATAACAGTTAATCTTCAATTTAAGTCACATGCTGCAACATCAGCATTGCACTGTGCTGTGAATCAATGTATAATAGTAGTTGATACACCAACCAGGTGCTGCTGTTCAAATCCACAAAAATGAAAGAAAAAAAAAAGATGTATACATTTAAATATCACCAGAGTGAGTTTCTTGCAGTCCCTTCAACATACAGAAATATGAAACATCAGTGGTTCTTTTATTTCTGAAGCGTGACAAAAAACAGGCATTACCTTTGTTAAGGGTCCATAGTGTCTTGTCCATTGTTAAGTATGTTTATGTATGTTTTTTATTGGGTTAGTCAGTTTGCTGTATTGCTGTATGGTGTTTGTTTGTATCATTATTGTCTTGTATTATCAGGCTGGGGAGAATAGCCATGCAACCATATGATTTTTGAGATGTTTGCATGATTATGACATGCAAAACTATGTCCATTTGAATAAAGCTAAACACTTTTTTGTTCTGGGCAATGTTTTTATCATCTCAAATCCCCTAATTGTTACTTACAATGATATAATTTAAACAAGAAAACAGATAAGATGCCCAGCGCAGTTACAATTTTACATACATAGTGTGTAATCCCCACCTCCAGGGAAGAACCAGTCAGCATGCTGAATGATTGGCTCGATGATGCCAACAATCTGTAGGGACACGGTCGTCATCATCTCTGTCATGTTCCTGGATAGAGCAGACAAGTGAGCTATAGCAGAGTCACTCAATCGTTGGTTTAAATCCAAAGAATAAAATTATTAGTTGCTTTAAGAATACATACGGTTCATTGTGTGTCCAGAGCAAGTTTGGTCCAAGGACAATAGCCATGTTACCAGGAGTCATCTTGTTAGCATCCTGATACTCACTCAGCTTGGCTAAGAATTTGATCAAATATCTGTAGGATTGGATAAAATTAACTGTGCATTTTAAAAGTATAACCCACTGTTTTTGGTTAGATGTGACATGTCTGCTTGTACCATTTACTGATTATAAAGTAAAAAAAAAAATAATAGCAGCAATATTAGACGTGCCACCTGCAGGCAGTAAATAAGACTGTAAAACAGCATGAGTTATTGCCTGCAGGAGGTACAACTACGAGTACTGCAAAGACATTACAGTAATTTTCTTGTCAGTGATTCTTGTACTTCTAAAGTTGCTGATCCTGCTGTTAATATCATTTCCTGTAGGTGGCACAAGTTGAGTAGATATTTGAAAGGATTTCACCCGGATTTTCACTTGGATGTGGTCCAGTTTTGTTTCTACATACTTTCCCGGTTTTTGATCTCCTAATGTCTTGTTTATGATAGTAAGGCTACACTGAAACATGTGCAATCCTGCAAATCAATGGGCAGAAAATCAGGGAAAGAAACTGACCTGAAATTGTTTAAGTTGTCTGTGGGGAGTTTTTCACATGTTGCCATCAACGCCTGTAGTCTCTTGTCAATGTCTTGAATGCTGAGGAAATATAAAGTTATTACGGTTTACTGTTGCTCTACTTCTTTATAAATGTCATCATTTTTCTTTTTGACAGTTAGGGGCCCTGTACTAACACGCTGAACTGGTTTCTATTTTTAATCACTGCCAATGGCACAATTTGAGAAAATACTCTTAAGAGTACAGCAACTCACTTGGAGGCTTGAATCCATTCATCATAAAGTTCAGTGGTCATCAGTGGATCTGGGAGCTCACGAAGGTATGATTTCAGGGCCCCTGTGGGATTAAAAAAACAAGGACAGCGTAAAAACTGGTCAGCTCTTTGAAAGAAGTGGAGGGTTGTTTTCTCTCTACTGGCGAGCCCATGCTCCATATCTCTACTCCCCTCTAGCAGGCCCTCATAGCTAGTGCATCTGCCAAAGTCAGACAGCTCAACACAGATTTCATGCTAATCTGTGAAATGAACAGCAATATCTGAAGAGAAAGCTCTTGGGAAGAAGACATTTTCCAAAGAACCACATTTGCAAAGTGCATTATGTCCAAAAAAAGACTGCAAACACTTCAGCTTTTTACAAATGAACTTTTGATCATGGAGTGAAAATAATTGGCTGTTTACAATTTAGCCTCTAACAATTACAGAGAGTTGGGATTGTTGTTATGGAAATGTGCTTTGAACAATGCATTTATGTGGGCGTAGATCACCTGCGATGGCGTGTGGATCGGAGGAGTACTCCTGCACATCAAGAACTCCACAGTCCAGGGACGCTTTCAGCTTCTTCAGCTTGGAGGCTGATGGAGCCACTCTAAAGAGGCCCTACAGCCCCCACACAGGAAACACGTGATGTGTAATTATCATATCTAACACATCTGAGCAGGAACACAACGCAGATTTTGAATATTTCCATTAAATGTTAATTATGGACAAGTGATTCATGTATATGTGCGTTTCTTCTACCTCCTCTTGCATGCCGCACTCTAGCAACATGGTGACACAGGCTTCGATGGGGAAGGCAATCTCTCTCCCACTTATAGTCAGGTGTTCCTCCAGGGACTTGCCATACGACGGCTTCTCCACCCACGCCTCTGCAATACCAAACAGTGCCCAGAATCACACGTGGATAAAAACAACCCTATGCATCATGTCTTTTGTTTAGCAATTGTAAATTAACCATTAATTAAATATCAAGGTGCATAACTGTTCCTTAATTATGTTGTTGTGTAATATGCCAGGCCTATTAGTGTATTCTTTACTGATCATCTTGGTATTCCTTCGGGTACAGAAATGGAGCAGATCTCAACACAAACACACACACATAGCTCTTGACACAATGCATGACTCACCTTGGTGAGCTTTAATCTGGGGTAGGACACTATGAAGAATCTCTAATGACTTCCTGTGATATTCTGCCTGCGTTTCTATCAGCTACAGAGGAGAGCAGGGGGAAATAAAATATAAGATAATGCACCAAACAATTATGATTTTAAAGTCATCTTCAGTGTTTACTACAGCTTGTGCTTAAACGCAAAAAAAATCTGATTCTTATCAGCCGCAACGTTAAAATGTCCGGCAGGTTAAGACAGCAACACTCATCGTCTTATTCATTCATTCACTGACACGTAGTACTCATCGCTGCGCACCAACCACACCCACCAATTCAGGCAATGACATGCCCTGAAGGCAGTGGCTTCAACCAGTAGGGCAATGCTCACCGCCAAATAACAAACCCGCTCGGACATGGTTTTAATCGACACAACAAAGACACCAAGGCGTTGACCTAACCGAGCCTCTTAGAATCCTAATCTGGATATGCCAGAGAAGGCCTGATCACAAAGGAGCCAAAATATCAAGTTTTAATGCCACATGTCCTGTCCATACCCCAACAGGTTAGAAGTGACAACATGAGTGGGACCTACATGATATGAAGCAGTTGTGTAGCTCCCATATTTAATGTTGTTGGTGTAAATGAACTCTTACACCAAAAGACAAAAAACAAAACAATTTGCCAATTTGATGACATATTTGACTTACCGTCTGGAAGTAGTTTGCATAGTCTATTTCTTTGGCCATGAAATTGTACATATCTGCTGACAACTGATCCTGAAAAAGAAAAATCGTCTTAAGGAAATAATCTCACTAACATCATAGATAGAACTTTAATATCATTCCATGACTGTGGCCCATTTGTGTCTGATTCATGTGCAAGTGTTATAAATCAAAGAGGAGGGCAAAAGTAGCTGGATGAAGGCATGATATACACGTAGCTCTGATCGTTGACTCACTCTGCAAATCTCCATCCGATTGGCTGTCTCCTCCATCTCCTCTCTTAGGGACTCAGACTTGGCACCGGGCTGCAGAGTGCTGGGGTGACTGGATGACTTGGATGACTGTTGATATCTGTGGGTAAATGAAGCAGTCGCCCCTGCTTTAGACATTCCAAGTTTTTATTTTAGCAATACACTAACCACAGCAGGTTTTAGCCTCACTGTTTGAACACTGTTCACCTTGTTCGTGCTGAGTCCATGTCCAGGACAAGTTTAGCTAAGTGCTTCCTCTGTTTCTGGATATTAGGAATGTCCACCTGAAAAAAAAATCCAAGGAGTTAATATGAAAACAGTCAACTCATTATACTTTGTTTCTGCTAATAGCAATGGAAATAAAAACACCAAAATGCAACTTTTAACTGGTACATTAAAATAACACTATCTGCTCACCTCCGCAAGGACATAAAGAGGCTCCACCACATCTCTCTCTATCTGGTACTCAAACTGAATGAGTTCCTGGGCGAGCTTCTCCTCTGTCTCCCCACAGAGCTTCAGCATTTTTCTGTTGGTAAAAGCCAAGCACAAAGTCATAAGCAATCAAATACAATTAAACACAAGGATAATAAGGACAGAGAAGAATTCAGCTGCCAAATCTGTAATTAAAGATGACTCTGTGTGTGTGTGAGTTAAGCACAGGCGTATTAGTAGTCACTAACCCCAGGAGAGAGTCTTCCCCCAACACTGCAGCCCCTTCTTCCATGCATTGTGCCAGGATGGTAAGCGGTAATTTTTTCTGACGGTACATAGAAAAAATGTTACACGCACTTCTGTAAACTTCAACAGTTGCCAGCAGGACTGACGCCCGTACTCACAGAAGGTGACTTTACAGATCTCTTCTCCATATCAGTCCCCTGCTGACCCTGCAGGCAGGCATTCAGTTTTTTGTGAGTGCTGTGTGACACCTGCTTGACCAGATCTAGGCGTTTCTCCACCTGGGAAAGCACACACAGAGCAGGTGAATGTGCTTACATGCACACATGTATCCTCACAGATGCAACATAACTGTCAGCTCTAACGCAGCATCATGAATCAGCACCTGCTCTCTCTTCACGGTACATACTGACAGTAAACCTGTGATATTTTAAAAAAGGATTGAAAAAAGGCAAGCTTTCTTGCCATTTCTTCAATTAGTCTTCAGGAATAGTTCTCTGGGCTTCTTGAAGGACATTTAGAGCTCTTCTTTGAATTTTGGCTGGTTCTGTTCTGTGTCAAAATAATAAAAGGGCAGCCCTCAGCCCTGACCGATTGGGCATGATGGGAGGAAAACAAAGAAGCAAAAAAAGAAATCCTCTGAAAATGGTCATGTTTGAGGATTTGACTGAAAATAATTGAAAAAGCAGCCAATGTCCAAGGAAAAAATACAAATAAAAAACACTTTGGAAAGCTGGCAGAACTGTGACTCAAGTGCACTTTAAAAAAAGTACAGAATATATAGCAATTAAAGTACATTGTTCCCAATGTACCATGTGGTGATTTTGACGGACATTATTTTTGATGTTTAATAATCATTATCAATTTATTACAGACTACTAATAATTCACTGCTGTTCACAGGTGCACATATATACACATCTGACATCACAGCTCCCATACACATCTACAGCTCACCTGTAGAAGGTCTTCGCTCAACACCTCTGTTTTTTCTGCTCTGTAAAGATAAAAAAACAAACAAACATATATATTAATACGTTTTCTTTCGTATTCTTAAATCCACAGAAACATGATTGCATGTGGCAATTTTATCAGTATGTAGGGAAAGATATGGGAATCAATTCTAGACCAATAAAACATTACTGCAAGATAGCAGAAATTCTTGGAAAATGTTCATTCATCATCTTTCCTATGCAGAGCTTATTAAATTTCATATATTAAACACTGCATTCAAGAAAGAGAAGCAAACTTTCTCACTGGGAAACTAACCCATGGTTTAAAGTATTCGGCTTCTCTCTTCCTTGTATTATTTTATGTTATTTTTTGTTTTCTGATGAAAACAAATGAAAGGAATTATTGCACAATGCGCACAAAGAATTACGAAGCTTTGGTATGCTCTTCATTGGGTAGGCGGCATCTTGGTGCTTCCATATACACACAGAACAGCTGCCACAATCACACAGTTTCTGATTCACACAGGAGAAATAACATCAGACATGCTACCTTTTTAAGTTCTTGATGACATGCCAGTTTAGTTTTGAATAATTTAACACATTTTACAATTCTTGCGTGTCTTTCTCAAAATGCTGTGGGTATAGAAGGCTCATTTACCAATGTGGCAATGCTCCAAAATTTATAGGCCGCATGCACACCTGCCTCTTTGGTGTAAGTGGGTGAGTTTGTGTAAGAATGCAAGTGTCTCTTTAAGTTATCATCTTCAACAATGCATAACAACAGCACATTAAAGCCGCCGATTCAAATGTGTTAATTCCCACTGCATCACATCCTACTAAAAATCCAGCAGATGGGGATTGAGCCAAAGACTGAAGGAAAGGGCTGCAGAGCAGATGAAGCAGATAAAGCTACTCATCCGGAGAAGTGAAAGAGCCATTAGTTCAGAAAAGAGCAAACCACTGGATTTTACAAATACATGGTGTCAGCTCAGTTCAATCAGCTTTCATTTTATGACTTTAGTCAGCAAGGACATTTTCCATATAGCTTAACATGCCGTTTATGATCCTATAAGAAAAGACAGAATAGCCACTTGTCTCCTAAGAACAATTTTATTGTACATTTTCTTTTTTGTGGTAAACTATTACAGAATCTGACACCAACCAAACTTTAATGCATGCAATATATAAACAATATATAAGGAATACCTAATGTGGAGGTTAACATATGCTTTCTGCCAAGAAACAGGGATCGGGCAGACCATCTGACCTCCTAAAATGAGGCATTTTCAGATCCCCAGCAGAACACAGTTACTTGGGACTTCCCTTCCTGTACACACAGCCTCTTCCTGTGATTGTGCCCAGACTATGCCCATGCCAACCGCAAATAATGAATCTGAATTTATCTTGGCAAAGCAAATTATATAAAGGACCTTGGTTTGTGCAATAATTGTCACGAGCCAGGGGAAATAATTCAGAAGCATATTACCAAAATGCTGTTTTCATGTATGTTATCAAACAGGCAACATAACAGCTCTCTAAAACTGTTGCTAAAAAGAGGCAAAGTATGAAATGACTAAAAAGTGTCTAATGTTGACACACAGTTGTTTACACATTACCAATAACAGAAAGCTGAACTATTGAGACATTAGCATCTCCAGCCTCAGAGAAAAAAAAAAGTGAGCATGGAGCCATGGGAACTGGGTCAAATCATGTACCAGTGGATCTAATCACAGCCAGCCTCTCGGAAAACTGCTCTACTCAATGAGCTAGGAGGCAAAATACAGGAAATGTGTGTGTGCATGTCTAAGAGAGAGCGACAGAAAGATAGCAAAGCAAGAGATTTCTGGCGTGATTTATAAGGATAACTGCGATCGCAGATTGCAGATTACATGACAAAGGGAGGACAAAAATAACCCAAGCAGCACACTAAAGTTTGGCACCGTTCTGCTGAACACTCCACCAGACAAAAAAACTCTGAAATGCCATGGTTTATGAAACAACCTCCCATGCAAGACTGTATTATGTACTGAAAGTAGGTAGTTGCTCTGCATTGTCACTGCCACTGTCTATTGCAGGCTGATCAGCTGACTGGATTTGTTGTTTAAAAGGAGGCAATAACAATTTAAATCATAGACATCTAGCGTCCTCAAGGACCGCAAGCGGTGTGGCTATTATGACCTAGACATCAAACAGATTGGAGCCTATCTTCAAAGGCAGCGCTGTCTTGTTCTATGAGTTTGTTTGTTTTCGGAGAGTGGCATTTCCTCTTAGGAAAGCAGCATCGCACATAATCTTGCTGCGAAGATGCAGAGAAAAAGCAGCATTGTCGAGGCATGAAAACTGGGGGGTACTGAAGTTTCTTGGCCCTACTGAACCTGATGTAAGTCTAGCTTCAGGGACAGCTTAGAGGTGAGGAGAGATGTTCTTCTCAGCAAATATCGTGCAAAGTGAGACCTGGGAGGAAAATAAAGACGTGGGAGAGTTGGCAACCTCGCAGGTGGTATGCTCATGGAGGGAAAGGGAGACGTTGCCAGGTTTATGCCAACCATCTGCCACTATGCAGGCATTCCTTTACCTGGAACTGGTGATGACTCAATACAAACACGTGCACAGTCATCTAAAAATACGCAGGTTAATGAAGTAATGTTCAAATTGCAGACATTTATTACAGTCTTGCATGCAAAATGTAACACTGGTGAAAAGGACTTCAAATCGGAGCAATGCAAACATGAACGATCCCAGAGAGCGGAGGAAGATAAATGAGTTGACACAATATTTGCGCAAGATGATCAGCTGCCAGAATGACAAACTTTTTCTACATCTGGGAGGAACATTAGCAAAGAGCTGACATGAATAAAAGTCTAGGTAAGGTCTGTTTAGGACATATTTGTAAGGTTTCAGAGATTATAATTTGTTGTATTTCTGTTAAGTTGCAGTTAAAATGTTAGCTTGCATCTATATATTTTTATCTCAAGCTGTGTCAATGTTGGACAGCTGCATCGTTAGCCCCCCAGCACTGAGCATGGTTTATGAAAGCATAAATAATCCATGCTGACATAATCAAAATGCGAATAAAGAAGCAGCCGCTGTCTAGAACATATTGCATTGGTAGCGAGCCAATTGCTGGCTGTTGCTGACTTTCAGTTTGTCTGAGATTCAGCAGGACAAAAAGGAAAAAAAAAGGTCATTATCTGGTTTGCTCACACTGCTAGCATGGCTAACAAAGGCCCCTACTCTGAGGCCTGGAAGAGCTACACTGGATGCTAGGTCTTGTACTGCTAGGGGAGGGTAGTGGAGCAGAATGGTGGCCCTGGGCCTCAGCGGGGCATTACACACCCTGGAGCGCTGGCATGAGATCCACAGTCAGTTATATACATACACACAAGCAATGACACACACAAAAACCCACAATGGTGTTTATGCTTGAGATGCTCCGTGAATATTTCTCCACTGATTGCTTTTTGTTTTCTCTAGACCTGCATCGTGCATCTAAAGGCCCAGTTGGTTTCTACCCAAACGATGAGGCGGGGCAGGCGATGGGATACGGGGTTACTAAAACAGAAAAACCCACTTACTGTAGTTGTCCACTAAACTAGGTCACAGTTCTGTCAGGCATGCAACTGTGAGCACATACATGCACACAGGCATGCACATATACACACACACATGCGTCCAGAGAAGGAGTGAATGAAAGAGAGAGTGAGAGCCTGCAGTGTTCAGTAATGTTTCACTGGAAACACAAGCACTGAGTTATCTCTAATAACTTTATTCATGGTGCGCTGAATAATTTCGACAAAAAGGCGCGCAACAATGTGGCTTAACTGTGTTTTTACACTTGTCATCTTCCGAAAGACACACACAGACACACACACACACACACACACAGCAGCTAAATGACTTCAAATGCAAGCAAACAATAAACTACGACAAAGCAGCAAAGGTCAAAACAATCCTTTACTTAGAAATGAAACCTTTTTTTTGCCACCTTTTTTGTTAAAGCTATAAATTTCTTCACCATTTTGGGAAATGTAACATGTGCGCTGGCAGAGTCAAACGAATGTGATGAAACAGCTAATACTAAATGAGCGTTTCTAGGCAACCAAAGCAAAGGAACGACTATATTTGCTGTGCACAAAAAAAAAGGAGCTGGAGAATGATTAAACAGCAAAGGGGAAAAAGCAAAGGGGAAAAAGAGGTAAATAAAACAGGAAGTTGTTATTAGTAGATCAGTGCTTCCTGTTCTGAGCCTATTGACATTCTTGAATGGACGGAAGTGAGCATGCTTAAAGGGAGTCACCCGTCTCGTTTTTCTTTTTAACAATGCCAAGCTTGTCCAGTTCATTTATAGCAGTTTACTACTAAGAATTATATACCAGAGAACTTTATGTACAGTGGTATCATCATAAATTTAGCCTTTAGTGATTCATTCTCTGCATCCCTGTTGGAGATGATATCATGAGCAACAGCCTGGGTCAACCCTAATACTTTGACATGTCACGTCAAAATATTGATGCAGCAATGCTATTCTACTGCTTTCTCTTGCAATCCAGTTATTGAGTCGCTGTTAAACAGTTAAACAGCTTCCCTGACATTTTGACTTGCTATTTTACGGGTTTTTGTGGGGGGAGGCCTCTCAGATAAATGAGGGTAATGCGAATGGAAACTTAAATGAAGAAGAAGATATTCACAAGAGGAAAATGGTGGATGGTGGTGGAAAGCGAATCAGATCTCTAATTAGCTCAACTGACACATTACTGGAATGAACAATAATGACATTACACACACACACACACACGCTCACACTGACATTAAAGCGCAGTGAATAAATACACAATCCCTATTTCTTTTTTTTTCTTTTATTTTCTTTTTTTTTTTTTAACCAATTTAGGGCAAATTACTTCAGTTACACAGATCTCATTATGTATCAGAGAAGATTGTCTTGTGATATATTGCAGAATTTCTGTGACACCATTATTATCATGTGAGTTCTTCTATTTGCCACCCTGCTGTGTACATGATCACTTGTACAGGAGCCAGGTCAATAGGGACAAAACGAAAATAAAACTCCACAGGAGAATCTGGATCTGATGGGATTAATCAATCTCCTTCAAAATGTTGCAAGTTTTGTTGTTTGTTCTTTAAAAAAAAAAACAAAAAAAAAATAAAAAATCAGTACCGAGTTTTTTAGTTGATCTTTAGTACAGGGGCTCTTTAAGAGGTTAGTCTTTTGAATGAATCAACACGAGTGACATGGAGAGGGAGAAACAGCGCTTCTCTCTGATATTACATCATCTCTCTTTTGATGGCCAAAATGGCCCCTTGACAAAGGCTCTTTATCTCTACCATACCCTGTAGTATGCTGTCTCTGAAAGGCACTGATGGGGATATGGGAGGGTTACACTTATTTAGCAACGGCTCTCGCATGATCTAGCGCACACTTAATGATTCACTTCTGACTGTTGATGGCTTCATAATAATTCATAACACCATAATGTCGTTCCATGTTCAGCTAGAAATGATTACAAAAAAGACAATAACAGCAGTGAATCAGATTGTGAATGCAACTTGCTCCAAGATTTCTATGGTTCCAACCCAGAGAATCAAGGCTAAGAGGAGGAACAGAGAGCTGAGAGGTGGGGGACGCTGCATTTTCATGCAACAAGTTACCTGTCAGCGACCATATGCCCTTTTAGAGCCTGGCACACATTCTCACCAAGAGGTGTGAATGTGTTAATCTTGCACTGAATTTAAAAACAAGCACAGACACCTACTTCTTATTCTAACAGTAATTTGTTTTCAGTGTTAATATGGTCAGCTACATATTAGTGCTCAATGCTGTTTCTGCCCCTTCCTCTCTCTACTTTATACAGTGCAGTGAGAAAGTATTTGCTTCATTGCTTATTTATTTTGTGCATATTTGTCACACTTAGATGTTTTAGATAATCAAACAAATTTCAATAGTAGAAAAACCCAACATAACTCAAGTAAATACAAAATGCATTGTTTTATATGATGATTTCATTTATTAAGGAAAAAACGACAACAACTTATCCATACCTACCTGATCCTGTGTAAAACAATAATATGAGCCCTAATCATAATAACTTGTTGCACCACTCTTGGCAGCAAGAACTGCAATCACGCGTTTCTAATAACTGGCAATGAGTCTTTCACATCACTGTGGAGGAATGATGGCCCACTCTTCTTTGCAGAATTGTTTTAACTCAGCCACATTGGAGGGATTTTAAGCGTGGACAGCTTGTTTAAGCTTATATCTCAACCTAATATTAGTACTAAACTTCGATTAGGTCACTCAAAAACCTTTCAAATGTGGACTTCCTGGTGTGTTTTAGATTGTCCTGCTATATAAGCCCTCTTCATACCCTGAAGCTCAAGCACACTCGCTTGAGCTTCAGGGTATGAACTAATGACCAGACATTTAACTTCAGGATATTCTGGTCGACAGCAGAATTCATGGTTCCATCAATTACATCAAGTCGACCATTTCCTAAAGCAGCAAAGCAGCCCCAGAGCATCACACTGTTTAACCACCACCATGTTTGACTGTTGATATGATGTTATTTTTTATGAAATTCTGTGTTAGTGTTACACCAGATATAACGGGACTGAAACCTTCAAAAAATGTGGACATTTTCCACATCCACAATCTGTAAATCGGCCACCTGCGTGCTTAACAATAATTCATTCGCCTACTGCGTCAGAAAAGAGATAGAAACAGAGTAAGAGACAATGCATGAAAGAGAAAGCAGCCCACAAATGACTGCCATTTTCAGATAATTGCATTGTGGATTGGTGAGCTAGAAGGCACAAGTAAGAAGAATGCATCTATCATAGAGGTATTTGCAAACACCACAAAGGTGGCAGAAGCAGAGTGCAAAGATGGAATGTGGGTGTGTTAGGGAATGAGATAGTCCTGGGTTTTTTTTTTTGTATCTATATGTAAATGTTACTGTGCAGGAAATCATATTCTTACAGTCTTGAATCATAGAATCTTTTTAACAGTCTGTCCTAGACCTACATAGGACAGTGAGTTGGGAATAGAGAAATAGGTCAAGAGAAATGAAGGGTGGGAGCTGGATGAACCAATATAATCTTTTGCTTGCTTCCTGTAAGGACACCAAAAAATTAGAATGTCTTTTTTTAGACAAACGCAAACACTAAAGTACAGGAGAGTTTTCACGGAGACTAAAATCTCAATTAAAGGTTAATGTCCAAAAATAATATTTATAATACAGGTCTCTCCTGCTGTACCAAAACACATTTCTGTTAGCACTAAAGTATGCATGGCTGCACACCCTTTTGCTCCACAGAGGTAATTGGTCAAGCTGGTGATCACATGACATGGGTCTCACCCAGGCAAGCTGCAGCAGAAGCAGAAGCAGCAGCAGCAGCCGCCTTGGAGAGCCAGAGGGATGCTGACACAGCACACCTGAACACCAACCCCCAGCTAAAAGAAGACCTTCATTATAGACTTGCCATTACAAATGCCAATACAAGACAAAAAGACGAGCAGATATAGTAAAAAACAGTTATTAAAAAGATATGAGTTATGAGTCTATTCTTAATAAAGAAACCTACAATAAATAAACTAAAGCATAATTTTATTATTAAATCTTGTTTCTAAATGATAAAATGTAACTCTACATATTCTTAGTAACAGGACCTGTCACTGGTATTATCAAATCTAAAGAGAGCACTGAGTTTCAGGGGGACCAAAGGCCATACCCACAGAGAAACCCTGCTCCAGTCTGAGGATGGTTAAAGCTTGAGTCAGCAGAACAGTTAATATGAAGCCTGTTTTCACTGTTTTGGCACTTTATTCTTTCCTATAGGAGCCCTGCATTACTCACAGGACAAAACCAGCGGAATTAAAAGACAGCTCAGGGGTAAAGCTAAATCAAGTCCATTTTACTTAATGCACTATATAACAGTATATCTTCTGCAAGAGCAGTGTGCAAGGAAGAGCAGCAAAATGACATTGGCATGATAAGACTGTTTCTTGTATAAATGCTTGTAAAAGTCCAATAAATCTGCACATTTGTGATATGTACACATTTTTCCCACTGTCCGACACTAACACTCTAAGGCATGTAGGTGCAGAACACCTGGATCCACACATAGTGTATGCATACAGCATACGTGTTTACTTTATTGGTGGTAATATCAAGAAACATTTATGTTACGTGGTTTAATCTAAATAAGAGCTGTTTAAATTTAGCTCTCCAAATGAACCATGCTTCAGCACCTCTATACACCTCTTAAAATCCTTCAAATTATAAGTGGTGGAGAAATACAGACATAGTTACTGAATGGAGACACCTGCTCTTTTCTAGCGAAAGAAACCTCAAAACAAACAAAACATGATCGTCAAACCAGCATGATCGGGTCATTAGTTGCTAGATTTGGTTTTTCCAGATAGATAGTGATCTATCTCCATTGGCATAGCCAGTGTTTGACACTGTTCAAGGTCACCACAGGGTCAGATCCATTACTTCTTGATCCAAAGATCAAATCTCTGACTATGGTTTGAGAGTGGCAGTTCTTGTTATGGACCACTGTTATTATTAAGAGCCCAGCAGGGCTGTCCGGGGAGAGTTATGTTCCTCATTATCACTGTGGTACAAACAGACCAACTTAGACAGCCCCAGAAATGAGCTAATTTTCTACTTACACTAGCACCACTTGGACCATCTGCATTAAATAAGCTGTATATGTGCACGTACACATGCATAAAAGGAAAAGTGCCATATCTTCTGTGGCCATCTGAAGTCCTGCAACCTGCTTGCCCACACACATATCCAGAATCACACCCACACACACAAACACTCTAATGAGTCACTAGAAGAAATGATGATAAAAAAGACTGAGGCTAGAAAAAGCAGTATGACCTATGGGGAAAACAAAAATGATAGCACCAACACAGCCTGCAATGTGTGCCCCTCCGCATAATAATAATAATAATAATGACCCACACCTCCTGGTCCTAATCCCCCACCTCCCCTCCCACCCCCCTGCTGGGCAGAGAACACCTTCTGGCCCAGCAGCGGACAAGCTGCTTTCCCTGAACACAGAGGGTGGGGGAAGACTGATAAGCCCACTGGATCGGTGTAAAATGTCACCGGATTTCAGAACCATTCAGAAGCAGAGCAAGAACATGAAAAGATTGGACGGTGAGGACAGAGGTGGAAATCTGTCTTCAGAAACCCCTAATTTAGTTTTAGCACGTTCAGTGGAATGGAAAACCGTCCATTTAAACTGACACATATCATTCCAGAAGCGCATCAGGGAGGCGTGATCACGACCTTCAGGAATTCACGGAGTGGATAACTCACGCCTAAGAGGTGCTTCCCTCCTCACAGCTGATATCACTGCGTAATAAAAACATTGCGCCTTTTTCTCATTTTCCCCTCACGTCGCAGCCCACACTGCATCCGTCTGCATCACGTTTACCTATCGACAGGTTCGGTGACAGGAGTCTATTTTAATCACGACATAACTTGGCAATGCCATATTTGTCAAACTCCACCGATGATACTCTGTCATAAAAATTGGGTCGTCACTATTTGATGGTCCATGTCGCTGTGATTTTCTATATTTAACATATTTCCGTGGGCAGGTTGGAGCTACTGTGGCAATGCGCCTACACGCTGCCTATGCGGTAGCCTATTCCAGTTGGTATTACGCATAGAACACTTAGGGCGTTTTGAACATGAGGTATACAATATACTTCAGTAAATAAGCAAAAAGCGCAAAAAGGGGAAAAAAGGGGCAAATTAAAGAATGAAAGTCTGTTTGCATTCATCCGATTCGCATCCTTCTGGGGCCATGCAGGGGGGTTCTCCTCTCTTTGACTTGGCCAGTCGCGACAATAGCGCACGGAAACGGTTTCCTTACCTTCCCACCGTTTGGTTGGCGAGCTGTCGCATCCGATTGAATTGCTTCTTCATCTTGTATTTTCTCTGTTAGCACCTACGAGGGGAAATATTCCGCATTACTTCTCACAATACATATCTCCATCCTCCACAGAGGTGCAGCACAAATTCCAATCTCCCATTCCCCCCCTTTCCCTCATCGCAAGCTGCCAGCACCGAAGAAGTATTCCACGATTACATATTTTCAATTGATAGATATATGTATATTTTTTGCACATCTATATTTGCTCCATTGCCTGCGCAGGGATGCTGGACCAGTCCACCGCGCGTACACACAGGCAGGGAGCGACAGCAGTGACAAGTAGCGGCTGCGCAGCAATGCAGTGTGGGAAATGTAGTGTATCTATGGCTGACTCTTGAATAAAGACTCTATTCTTGCCGGTTCCTGTGAGCTATTAGGCTTAAACGGATCAAATGTGTATTCATTTTTGCATTTTTGTATTTATTTCTTATGTGTGTATGTGTGTTTCTGTAGATATCAGTGGTTGCCTATACTGGTCCACTGAAAGCGTGAAGGGAAGCCCAGTTAATTACTGATTGATTGGTTGATTGATTGAGAAAATTTTACTATTCATTTGTATTTTTATTTTTACCCTTATGGCAAATTAAGCTGCTACAGGAGTTTCAATAAGGAAACGTGCACTCAAACCTCCACTAATAGCTCAATTACTGTAAGTCAGCCTTGGCCACAACCCCATCTAATGTCCATTATGTGCCAATACATTGCCAATTCACCCTTTTGTTGCATTTGCACAACATCCCCATCTAGTGTCATTTGTTTGCCAGTGCAATGTAACTACATGGCACATGTAGTATTAAGTTATAATATTAAGGGGGAAAAGTTAATTATTACGTGAAAAATACGAAACTTTGACTGAAGTTCTTGTGCTCATAATGTAATTTTTAATGACACTAAGAATAACACACATATTTCTGAAATATATTTTCTGTCCTATAACTGGTTGGAGTGCAGAACTGAAAATATCAACTATGAAGGGGTCTTTCTATTTGTCTCCTTTGTGAAAGTTAAAAGTAAGGGCATAGGCTTTGTTGCATCTGTGTTATGGGCTCTTTGCTGCTTTTAGGGTAACTGTCCAGAAGGGAGCAGTCTTGCTTTATAAACCACTTAAAATTTTCACAGCTGCAGTGTGAAATAACAGTGTTAGCATCATAACGTCCCACATTCAAACAAAAATGATGTGTGAGCTCAAATGTTTGGACTAGCTGTACTTGTCTTTTGTGCATGCTCGTCTGCTGAGTTTATCACATAAATCCAAAACTTGCAAATGTAAAATGCATATTTATTAGTCACAGTGTCATTGCTGCTTTTTTATTTATTGCCTGAAAGCACTGTGCAAACCTTTATTCAAGGGAAACACTGCTAACAATTGTGACTACAACCTACGACACATCATTTTGCGTTTTTCTTTTCTTCTTAATGCTAAGCGAATACTTATAAATTAAGCTATAGGAAGCCTATGGATAGAGCTATCATAACAAAATATATCCCTGCATGTCAGTTCACAGCACAAAGCAGTTAAAACCTCTGACTAGGAGTGACGCCCTCTGGCTTAGTGTCATATGCCTTAATGGGCCAACAGGTGGGGTACACGCTGCTGCCATAAGGTTCAGAGGCCTCGGGGAGTAAATGATACAGAGAAATAGCTGTTTTCTGCCCTCATTAATCTCACATGTTGGAAATTGAGAAGGGCGGGGGAACCTTCAGCCTTGATCTCAACCTTTTGACCTTGTCAGATCATTTGTTTTCATTAGTCCGCACTCAGATGAACTGGCCAGTTCCAGTTCAGACACCTACCCTGCCCCCTTAAAGAAGGGAGGATTCCTAAAAGTATCTCCAGGGGTCTTCTTAACTCTAGAGCCCCCAACCCCCAAAACGTACTGCTCTAGAGTCTCTGGACACTTCTAAATCAGCGTGGATGATTTCTCACATCCGCTTAGCCTGTTTCAGAAACGCTTTCACCGGTAATCCCTGCACAATGAACAGTATGCCCTTTTTCAGAGAAACAGGAAGGGTGAACATAAACTTAAACCACACGGGAACTGTGTGGTGCATTTCAATGTTAAAGAAAACTATTAAAGATCTCCTGGGTTTACAGTATTTTTGCAGCATATTTCACATTATGGCACAACGGGAAGAAAAAAATGAACCCTTCATCTGGTCTCCTGCTGTTCGTGCCACTGAACGAGATGACTGAGTGTTCTTCCTCTCACTCTAATGCTCCTTTAGCTTGGCAGTTGGGGAGTAATTGGCTCCCAGTTTGTCTAATGAAGCCGTCTCTCAGGTCATGACCTGTCCACCTGATGACCCACTGCTGCTACTGATGTGTCCTCTGCACTTCGACAGTGACCCGGTAAGACGGGTGCCTTGTGGTTCGTTCACTAAGGCGTGGTATCATAGTCACTACTGCAAAGCAACAGGACCTTCGCATGCAGCCAGTGGAGGTGTTAGGTCTTGCTGGAAATGAACTGGTGGCATGTGTTTGCTTTGTTCAAAACAAACAAAGGTAGGGCCTTAGGAAAGCTTTAATGGCATGTTACGAGATCAGGTTAAAAGCTGCCCAGTCAACAAAGGCACGATTGGTGGGATCGTCACGCTTGTGTTTTTATCTTCAGACAGTTAGCATCATATTACCCACATCAATTAGTCCAGGCGTGAGGAGTGGGGTGCTACAAGCCTTTGGTCTTTCATTAAAGAGAACTAATATATTCATCAAGGAAGTGTGGGCAAGGCAACAGATAGACACAGTGGCCCCCCTTTTAAACAAGAAGAATTTACCTATTTGGTAATCATTCTGACCCTGTTGATAACCAATATACAGATCTGTGTCAAATTACTTTTAAAGGCCATTCTTTGGAGTTAATATACTTTAGTTCTTGCCTCTCGGGTGTGGAAACAAAAAGTTCTGCACAGGCATTAACGTCAGCATTTCAGGTAAGCCCGAGAGCTGAGGCCTGACTTTGTGGTGTGTCTTTAAAGGGTTACCTTGGGCCATAATGAGTCTCAGCAAGCCAAGCGCCAGGCCTAATGAAAACACTGTGACATCTGAGGGCGAAAAGGCATTACGGGTCTAAACTACAGGGGTTGTTTTAACATGCAAATGACAGAAAATGATGGTTATCACAAACACCTTTCAGACACACTAAATGCAGGTCTGCTAGCCAGTGGGCCTCGAGTCGAGAGAAACAAGCAGAGCGTTAAACACTGATGGTGTGTTGGACATGCAACATATGAGAAAACATAAAAATACTTTTTCATTTATTTTGCTCTGGACAAAGCAGAAGATAACACTTTAGCAGAAAAACACATGGTTCTATTTATACAGTAAGGTGCGGACTAAGAAGATGGCGCTATCATATCAGCTACGAAGGTGTTATCTTTCACAGCACATCACCTAGATCTTCTAGCATGGAACCTGCGCCGTATCGAGGAAAATTAAACCCGAGAGCAGCAAATGAGCTAAAAGCATACAAATTTTCATCATCTCGGTTGGAAATAAACAGTCACATGCGCGCTAATGAAAACTGTTGCACTCGAGGTTTTCATCTGTGCAGAAAACCTCTCCAGAGAATTGCATTTCCACTTTGATACAAAAATAATGAGAAATGAGAAGTTAAACATAGAAGACCGACAATAATTAAAGATGTAAAGGACGCTGTCGGAGTGAGTTAACATAAAAATAAATCTTGGCTACAACAGAAAGTTTGTTCTTAAAGAAAATATTTAAAGCCACCTGGCAGTTGTAAAATTGTTGAGTCATTACCCTCTTATCGTTTTGTTTTACTAAACTGATCATTACGTAAGTTTCATAACCAATTACCAGTTATAACAACCTAATATTATATAAAAGGACTTAAACCATCTTTTATCATTTAAACAGGTAGTGGTTCACCAGAGTGACAGGTCTTTGCCTGTGGCAAGCTCAGTGATGTGTTTTACAGGAAGTTTTTGGCATGGTACACTTGGTCAACCTTTTTTTAATACCAACTCAATAACTGTGCTCGGGTGTGGTGAGTTGCAGCTGCGGTGTATTGTGAATGTATTTGTGATTGGAGTCTGCATGTATACACATGCAAGCACACGAAATGCAAGCTGGGTTTTGCTTGAAAGAGAGCCTGAATATGCACTAAATGTTGGTCTGTCTTTTCTGTTTAGAGGTTAATATGTGGAACTTTTTAAATACAATACTGTGCAAAAGTCTTGAGTCATCCCTCATTTTAACATTTTTCTATGTTTCCAAAGAGTCCAACGTTCTGGTCAATTTTTAAAAACTGGTCTTGAGTAATAGTTCTGCAAGCCACTTGTAAATCCTAATGAATTAAGCCTTAGCTTGACGTTCTTGACGGCTCCTCCTCAAATAAATCCGCACTTCCGAACAAACAGCCTCACCAGACTATTTGTTAAACTTCACAGAGGCTCTTTACTTTGACACCAAGCTATTTACGAACATCGTGGCAGTGCTATGTTTCACCCTGAATGCTTACAAAACGATTAATAATGCGAGGTGATGAGAGACAGACGGGTAAAAGGAAACTGTGAGGCTCTCTCAAATAAATGACATTTTATTATAATAATTATCCCACCTTGTTGAAAAATAACTAAGTTGTACATGAACACTAAATACTGCTCAGAATAATGAATTAGGAAATCAGTTTAACTCATTATGGTGTTCTTGTGAAATACAGAAAATGAAATTAACACAAACACACTATTAAATATGAAAAAATGCATTTAGGCTCCCATCAGTCATTTTAGCATAATTCAGCTGAAGGGATGAACCAGTGTTGCGTCTACTCAAAACAGACAAATTCACAAAGAACCAATTTTAAACTGCACCTTTTGGCACTTTGTTATCTGCAGCCTGTTAAAACACACACACACACACACACACACACACACACACACACACACACACACACACACACACACACACACACACACACAATTTGTTCCAATTCTTTAGCTGAATCTTTGAAAAGTGCTAAAGATAAAACAATTTGACAAGCGGAAAATAGTATTTTTGTACCAACAAGGTGATTCGCAAACAGCTAAGGACACATGCTGTGCAGTGTGTCCTCTAAAAAATTGAGGATACTGAACAAGTGGAGGATGAAAGAAGAAGTGTCAGGCCTAAAAATCTATCCACAGCAGATGAACAGCATTGGAAAGTGAGAGAAAAAACCCAGCAAAAGCCTGACACAGGACCTGAGAGATGAATCTGGCCTTTCATTTGATCAGTCTACTGTTCAATGAAGCCTTAT